AATTTACCCTGCATACACGTTAACAGCAATTTCAGCACCAGAGCTATATATAATGCAGTAATCCACGCCCATGGTTACAAAAAGTTACCTTATAAACCGGACCAAAACCACCCTTTCCCAGCATATTGTCATCATGGAATTGGTCTGTGGCATTTACAAGTGTCTCGAACGTGAATAACGGAAACTCTTCAAGATTAACTTTATCCATATCATCTTTAATCACTATTCCGGCCGAATCTGATGGATATGTTTGCCCATCTTCATACAACTTTGCATCTAATTTTCCTTTGGCTCCTGTTTCCACAAGGAAAATCATTATCATTAACTGACAGATACATATATGCACCTGTAAAGCCCAATAAATTATCCACTGTTCATTCTGTATTACCTTTTCTAGCCATCAACCACCAATAAATGAAAATGCAAACGAAAATGGCAACCAAACCCGCCACTATTGGAATGATAATAATTAGCTGTTTGTCTTTGTGCCCATCTGTAAAAACCAAATATCAAATTACTTAGCTTAATCAATAATGAGTTCATAAACATTATATGGCAATTTATCGAAGACAACAGAACTATAAGTACCTAGTTCTGAAGAAGCTAGACGAATGTAAAGATCTGCACCAACTTTAGGAAATTGCTGAATGTCAATCAGTCCTTGGCTCCAAAACATACAACCTAGATTTGTGTCGTGTGCATAGGCTATGCACGAACAGTTCATCAAGCAAAGACTTCTACATTCCTCTACCGTCCTAGAGGGTCCCTGTTCGGCAAAATCCGGCACTTTCATATATGGGAGCCTCAAGAATCCGTCTTCTTTGCCACCATCGCTCGTATTATTATTTTGATCACAAAGCAATGGTTTGCTCCGGACACATCCGCCAGACCAATTTCCTCTTCCCCATTCCTGGGAATTCTTTGGTTCAAACCCTCTCAGACAAGAACAAATAGGCGAACTCAGAGCATTACAACTCCCAAATGGCCCACACGTCCCATAAACATCACATTCTTGACTAGGAGCCGACCATGTACTATCCCATTTCTCTGTCTTATCATTCCACAACCATTGAACCAAACTCCCCGTTGAATTCAAAGTAAGTCTCATCAAGAATTTCCCCTCTGGCGCAGTGAAATAGTAAGTTCCTGGAAGAACCTTTCCCACAGTGAATCCATCATTGTATACAGAATGCATCTCTTGTATGCCAATTAGAATCAGCCCATTCCATGGACCACTTCGCCAGTATGGACGATTCCCATTCCAAGTAAAGGTTTGAGGAATATTCAGAGCCTGGAGACCATTTGTGAAATTTCCGACTTCTGGATCCATCGGGGTTTTCCATGAGGACAGGACCACCTTATTCCCTGTTTTTATATTGTCAACTAACCACAATTTAGGCAACAAAGTATCAGACGGATGTCCAAAACTTTCCCACAACGTACGCCCACTTGAATTATCTCGCAGAACAAGATTTCCAGTGCTCAA